GTGCCCGGGTGTTGGTATACTATTAAATTTCAATTTTCTTAAGCCTTCTGTGTTTATATTTGATCATTTATGAGATGAAAATTGAAAAATTCTGCACTTTTAAGGCTGATTTTTGAGTACCAATGGAAAAATTCTGCACTTCTCAATTTGATTTTTGGGCTATAAACTGAAAACATGCACTTTGTAAGCTGTTTTTTTTTAGTGCAGAATGAAAATTCTACACTTTTCACGGCTTATATGTGTTAAATTAGAAAAAAAATCTACATTTTTGAAATCTGATTTTTTGTTCTTCATTGCTAAAATACTTGGACTTAGCCTTCACTTTGCAGATTTTCAGGTCCATCGAGCACTTAAAGGAGGGAAAAATGATAAAATGATGCCGCGTATACTTTTTTAAATTATCATTCCCATTCCATTCTTTTGGTTGTTGCGTTACTCCCCATCCTCTTCTCTCTTAGCTTATTCTCTTGGTTATATCGTTGTTTTCTCAATTGCATATCATTTAGATGCATTGAGGACTATGCATGATTTAAGTGTGGGAGGAGGTTCTCATGTTTACTTCGTTTGTTTGGGGGTGTATATTTTTGGGCAATTTTTTTTTCTTTGATAGGTTTGGGGTCTAAATATTTTTTTATTCTTAGTTGCATATCTCCTTATTTAGAGCATTGTTTTTAAGCATTGACCCAAAAACTTCAATTTTTTTTTGTGCTTTATTCTGAAAGATAACAAATGTTTCTTTGTAAACTCGCCTTGAGTCTTATGCCCATTTTCTTGGTAAAAAATTGACATTCAAAAAGTTTGAAATACTTCTACGTATCCTTTAGATTTTTTTCTAGAACTGGTCATCCACATATTATCTAGATGCTGTTTTAGTCAACCTTGCTTGATATTAAAATCTGAAAAAAAACAAATTTTAAGAATCCAGTTTTAGGATCCTTTTTATTTTTTTTTATTTTTTTTAGAAAATTGTATGTTTTTATCTTTTAGGCTTCTTTTTCAATTTTTGCTACCGTTGCCATTGAGCCTTTCTGAACTATAGGATTCCTTTAGGAAACTTTTTTGTGGCAACTTCAGAGCATTTTTTTTGTAGAACCCAAAAAATCCACACCTTAGTTTTCCATCCATATAGGATTTGTATCTTACTTTTTCTTAAAATCTTAAATGTTTTGGGCATAAAGTCTTAGGAGTGGGTTTGTAAGGTGCACTTTGTTTTTCTTGATGATGATAAAAAGTTTGGTTTCTTTTTGGTGTTTTGAACGAGGATGTTCAAGTCTTAAGTGTGGTGGTATTTGATAAGTCGTTTTTGGGTTAGTTCTTTTTATTCTTTTTTAGGTATTTTTAATATTTTTAGAGTTTAATTTTTAGTTTTTTAGCTTAGTTTTATTTTAATTTCTATTTTTACAATCTCTTAATTTTCTTTCAAAATTAGTAGTTTTTTAATCATTTTTTTTTTCAATTTTATTTTTCCTAACCCAAAATTATCAGATATCTTATTTTTGGAGAAAAATATAGCAGAAGGCCAAAATTCATTTCAAGTTTGGAAAAAAGAGATTAAATTTGGGCCGGAGCCCAAATCTATCATCAAAAGAAAACCAGCCCATACAACCTCCCTTCACTTTATCTTCACGCAAGAAAAGAAAAAAAAGAGAAGAGCCGGCTTCTTCATCTTCATCGCGCAAGAGGCGGGAGACCAAGTCAATTAACGCTCCAACGATCGGCCATCAATTCCGTCATTCAATTGCCAACGGGAAGAAAAGCTTCGACTATAAATTGCGCCCAGAATCATCAGCTTAAAGAGGGGGGAAGCAGAGGGGAATCACCGAGAATAAAGCAGCGGCTCTAGCCGCTGCTATCTACGCAGCTCCGATGGCGGTGGGCGGTGGAGGAGGCGACAACCAGCGGCGGCGACGGTAGCGGCTGCAGCTCCGGTTGACGATGGGCGGAGGTCTCCAACACAGTTCATGGTTCCT